ACTTATCTAACGTTAGTGGGAAGAAGGCAAAGATTAATTCTATAGCTGTGGAGAAGAAATTCAGTATGTGGCCAAATCAACTCCATCCTCAAAGAAACAAAGAAAACGGTCTTGAATAGAAAATGGAGAAAAAAATTAGACCAGATCCCTAGTCCAGCAGATCGGATGCTTATCTTAAATACCAACCCGGTTTCGATCCCCTGTACTCCCTCTGGTCCCCTGAGACCTGCCAGGAGTAATTTCTGAGTGCAGAGCCAGGATTAATCACTGATCACTACTGGCTGTGGCCCCAAACAGCAACCAAAAAATTTAATGGTGAAAAATTAAGTGGTAAGTTCACTGTACAACTCTCTGGGCCTTAGCAAGGAATCTGGAACGAGGCTGAAAGGGGGACAGGAAGGTCACATGACTGGAAAGAGAGGGACAGAGCAAGTGGGATCCTTACTGTCCAGATTCTGCGGTCATCAGTCAGGAAAGGAGCATTCCAAAGCAGTTTTATGAATGAAGAAAGGGGCAGGGAGGTGTGTGTGTTTGAGGGGGTTGGGGAGCAGAATGTAAGCTTCATCTAATTTCAAAATCCCTTTTTTCTAAAGGAATTTTACATGCTCATTGTAAATTGCAGCCACAACAAATGGTTCTAAGGAACAGATTTCCATCTGTCTGCATCTTCTATTTTTAAAGTTTTCCCTTTAACCTGCCACAAGATTCCCAGACCCTCACCCCCTACCACCAGCATTTTTCTAAAAGTGATTTTCAGTATCCTCTTTCCTCCCACCAGGAGAATTAGCAGAAACTGCCTCTAGATGTGACACAGGCTGCCCTGACGTGAGTCCTGGCAACCTTCACCACCACCAGCGCCCTCCTCCAGTGCCTTCTGGCCTCCCGCATCCCCTTCCCTCTCCTCTTCTGAATGAAAAACCAGGGCATGGCCAGTCCAGCACACTCTCTTCCCTCCAGCTCTGCACCTCCCTCCCAGCTCCACATGGCAGGATGTGGTGGCAGCGAGCCATCCTTCAACCTGGGGCTTAGACATCTTTGCCTTCCCTCATCTGACATCTAATGAACGCCACCTCTTACTGGTCTCACCATCACTGTTTCTCTAAAACCACATCCTCCATCCTGCTCCAGCCAGGAATTCCAGCCAGAGCCTCTTCAAGTAACTCCCCACTGACCTCACTCCCCACAATCACCCATACCTTGACTCACACCATTACCTCCAATTATCCCCATGAAATTTCAACTGACCACGTCCCCCTCCATATCTAGGTCCTGGCAGCTGTTTTGCCCTCGGAGAACAGTCTTCCTCCTTAATAGTAAACCCACAGGCTCTACTGTCTTCCCACTTTTATTCTGGCTCCCCTCATTATGTCCTTTTCTCTCCCCATCAAACCAGTCATCATCTCATACAGCTACTTTCCACTTTCAGTCTTTGCCATGTTTATCCCCGGTGTTCGTCGTTGCCCTTCAAAGTTGACCTCAACATGTGGTTTGGCCAAAGCTACTACCACATTCCCCCAGGCACCCTGGAAGTTTTTTAAGAATGGCACATTTGGGGGCTGGAGTGGGTTGGGTGTTTGCCTTGCACATGACTGACCGGAGTTCGATTCCCAGCATCCCATATGGTCCCCCGAGCACCACCAGGAGTAATTCCTGAGTGCATGAACCAGGAGTAACCCCTGTGCATCACTGGGTGTAACCCAAAAAGCAAAAAATAAATTAAAAGTATGGCACGTTTTTCTGCCACCCCCAAGAACCTCCCTCAAACAACTTTTATTTTCTGGAAACAAAAACAAGCCCCCAAAATCATTAAGTCCAAAGAATGTTGCCAGTGCCATCCTGCATGCAAGACTCATGTGATGTTAGAATCTCAGTATTGAGCATCCTGACAATAAAGCTAACCCCTAACCCAATGCCTACGTTGGTGGAGCTGTTTCAATTCTCTTTTGCTCAGTAACAAACTACATTCCTGAACAAAAAGATTCAGTGGCTCAATATTATAAAATGTCTATGTTCCAAAGTACAGCAATAACATTGACGCTGTTCTAATAAAAATCAATGTGTAGGCATTTTTGTGGTGGTGGGGGAGGAGAATAATGACACAATAATTCAAGTGTGTCTCTAATAGAAAAAAGTGGGGGAGAAGAGTCAAAGATGTTCTGGAAAGGAAGCGCCATGATAGATTCTACCTTAAGAGAAGTTAAACTTCATTTTAAAACTATAACAATTAAACAAATACCTGTTGCTCAGGAATCATTGGTCCAAAATGATAAATCCACAGCGATGCAGAAGGAAGATGTTAGAATCCAGTCCAGTGAGAGGAGAGATCAGATGAACAAAACATATTGGGACAATGAAGAGGAAACTTGGGCAGTGGAGCAGAGAGATAGGACAGGGCATGAGCCCAACTCAAATTTGATTCCTGGCACCACAAGCCCACCCTGCCCCCTGCAGTGCTGGGGTGGCCCTGGCAGTTTCTGGCACCACTACAAGGTCTGAGCAGTATCACATATTCTGGCCCTCATATTGAGCCGTCAGGTCTACCTGCCCAAGTATTGTCAGGAGTGGCCCCAGGGCCTCTGAACACCAGTTAAGAGGCTCTAAAGTGCATAAGTAAATAATAAAGGGAGACCTCTCTGCTGGGATGTCACTGGAACTTTGATAGTAGAAACGGTGAAACTTATATACATAGAGTCTCATAGACACATATAGCATGGAATCTCAGGGATGTGAAGCTAAACGCTTGAGATTTCATACTATCATGAACGATCACTGTATCACTCTATCACTGTCCCCATTGTTCATCGATTTGCTTGAGTGGGCACCAGTAATGTCTCCATTCGTCCCAGCTTTGAGATTTTAGCAGCCTCTCCTTACTCGTCATATTGGAGGCTCTTTCAGGGTCAGGGGAATGAGGCCCTTTATTGTTACTGTTTTTGGCATATCGAGTACTCCAACGGATAGCTTGCCAGGCTCTGCCATGAGGGTGGGATACTCTCAGTTGCTTCCTGGGCTCTCTGAGAGGATCATGAATGATAAATCATAGAAATGTTTTCATTAAAATTATATCGATAAAGTTAGAGCTCTATATCAGACTATCCTCCAAATGAAGGAAAATTAAAATTAAAAAATATATCCAGCACAGCAATAGGGCGTTTGCCTTGCATGCAGCCAACACGGCCGACCCGAGTTCGATTGCTCCGCCCCTCTCGGAGAGCCCGGCAAGCTACCGAGAGTATCTCGCCCCCACGGCAGGGCCTGGCAATCTCCCCGTGACGTATTCGATATGCCAAACACAGTAACAACAAAGTCTCCAATGGAGACGTTACTGGGCCCGCTCGAGCAAATCGACGATCAACGGGAGGGCCTTTTATCTTTATGAGGAGCCAGAGAGATATTCCAGTAGGTAAGGCACATCCATGGCACCCCATGTGATACCCTGAACCCACCAGAATGACCCTGAGCCCAGAGCCAGGAGTAAGCCCTGAGCATAGCCAGGTGTGGCCCCAAAACCAAATATATATATATATATATATGAAGTATATACAAAATGATATACAAAATGTAGATTCATATATTTTGGAGGTCTCCTTAGCAATATTTATGGAGTCCAGGAGTCATTAACAGTGACTCCCAGTCATCCAATTCAATGTAAGACCCCCAAAAAACGCAAATTTCTCAGGTCCTGTGGAACAGGCCTACCCCAGAGGGGCACTGGGGCCTTCAGGGCCATGTCTAATGATGCTCAGGGGACCATGTGGTCCCAGGGATCGAACCAGGGTTGACTACATGCAAGTTATGTACCTTAATCCCAGTACCATCTCTCCTGTTTTTACAAGCCCGTGGTAGCACACTTTCTAAGAATGCAACAATAAAAAAAAGGATTAATACTGTTGACTAATGAGATTTCTTAATTAGCGCATGCCCAAAAGCACTATAAAGAAAATTAATTTTAAAAATGAGAAAATATTTAAACATAAATTATTTTAAAGGGTCAATGTCCCCCATTAAATAATAAGTATGAAAAAGAAGGGTATTTTTAAAACTTCAGTGAGTAAATGTCGTGAACATATAATTCAAAAATAAGATAGCTGTCAAATGATTATTATTTAGTTGATTTTGCTTGTATTTTCTGAATTTTGTAACAAAATTTTTTAAAGTCTTATTTCTATAGTAAAAACAAAATCTCAAAAGGATCCAGCTAAAAAAGTGTTTTTTAGACACCCAATTCTTAGCCAAGATTTGTAAAGCTCTTTATCTAGCTCGAAACTCCCAGTACAAGGAACTACGCAAGATTGCCAACCATTTCTTATCCTGAGGCAGAATATATGCATTTTTCATCTCCTTGGATTCTCCAAACATCTTGAGAAAGGGGTTGTCACTATCCTAGTTTCAAACAAGAAAGAGAAGTCTTCGGGAGATCAACAAGCTTCTAACAGCCACACAGCTGTAAGCAATGGTGGACCCCAGGCTGGCTGGATCTGCTCTTCCCATACTTCTTTCCTGGATTCCTGGCTTGGGATGCCAAGTTCTGAGGGTTTGTTTGTTTGTTTGTTTGTTTGATTTTTGGGTTACACCCAGTGATGCACAGGGGCTACTCCTGGCTCTGCACTCAGGAATTACTCCTGGCGGTGCTCAGGGGACCATATGGGATGCTGGGAATCGAACCTGGGTCAGCCGCATGCAAGGCAAATGCCCTACCCACTGTGCTATCACTCCAGCCCCCAAGGTCTGAGTTTTGACCCTAGCTTTGTCCCCAGCTACTATTACACATGACCTAAGCGAATCCCTTCCCCTGTTTAACCCTCAACTTCCTCCGGTGTACAATAAGATGGGAACTGGTTCAGATGTAGAATGAAATTCCTTCCTACATGCCAAAGCTCTCCTCATAAAGCACTCGGTACCAACCATTAACACATCACTATTTTGAACCAGAGATCTGGTGTGTGATGTGGGAGCTAAAGCAAGAAGCCACACACTTGTGCCCCAGTCATTGGGTTCACCTTGAATTCCTCATGGATTCGTTCCTCCAGGATTTTGGCAGCCTTGCGGTCCTCCATCTCCACTTTCCACTTCTCTGCCAGGATCCGGGCTTTCTCATTGGCCAGAGCATCCCGGAACTTCTTGGTGATCTCTGCCTCCTTCTTTCTCCTTTCCAAGACAACACCACAGGTATACACTCATGAAGAATCATATCATCACACAATTTTTTGTAAAGACAATAGGCAATCTTCTCTTGTTCTATTTGAGGTCAACAAAACTCAAAGTTGGCAAGAAATTGCCATACTCCTGTTATATCAGCAGAGTTATTCTTGAAAACAGGAGTAAAAGATACGAAAATCCCATTTCTTTCTCAAATTTGAAAAAGTGGAAGTACGAGACATTTATAGGATTATTTTTAAAGTGTTATGGAGACTAGAAAGATAGTAAAACAGGTAGGCCAGTTGCCTTACATGTGGTCGACCAGGTTTTATCCCCAGCATCCCATATGGGACCCCAAGCACCACCAGGAGTGATTCCTAAGAACATAATCAAGATGAACCCCTTTGAGCATTGCCAGATGTAGCTCAAAAAAATGTTATAAGTAATAAACAACTTAAGTCTCCATGAAGTGCAACAGTTAAGTTAGGTTTCTCGTGTAAAGACAACCATATTGTCATCTTGAAATAGTATCTGGATCTATACTAAGTCCTTTATCAAGACGCAAATAAAGCCATTTACAATGTACATGAATGCCAAGAATAGTTATCTTAGGTACTGGGTGGTTGTTACAATTAAAACACTGTCATTAAATATTGGAAGATGAAGAGGAGACATAGAAGTAAACTTCATATGGATTTTCAAGTTCAGCCAAAAAAGTGTTCCAAGTTGTTTATGGAGAAAAATGACTTCAAATCTCACCAGGGACTCAACTGTTTATCTTGTTTAAGAAATGAGAATAACATGAAGAGGAACATGCAGATCACAAAAATTGAATCCAGGCTGCTGTCCTGCATCAGGAGGAATATGATGAAGAAAACAGATGAGACACATCACAGGCCTTAGCCCAGTGACTCCAAATTCCATCCACGCGGAAGAGGTGTTATATGCTCGCTGTACAGATATGTTGACTGAGGCCCCCATCAGCTTCCAAGAATGGGAGGAGCCAGGTTGCAAACCGCTAGTCTCCCGATGGAGATTCTGGTCCCTTGATTAGGGGTTTGGAGAACTCAAAAACACCAACCAGCTTCCTGGAACTTCCTTGTCCCACCCACCAACTGCTGCCCTTAACTTGCACCCACCCCAAGCCTTGTTCCCCACCCGCACCTCTGGGCACCTCTTACCAGAGCTCTTCTGCTTCCCTCTGCGCCTGCAGCCGTGCCCTCTCTGCAATCAGCTCCTCCGAGATCTCTTCGTAGGGCTTGTCGCCAGGGCCTTCTCCCATGATCCAGACCCAGACCTCACCGTCCGCCCCCAGGAGCCACTGGATGTGCTTGTCACTGGCTGCCTCAGAACAGGATGGAGAGAAGAAAGAGATGTGAGCTCTCGTGAGAGAGGGCCAACATAGGTCAGGGGTGTATGATCCTGCAGCAATTGTGCAGAACACTGTCATCTATGGAAGAGACCAGGAAAAAAACCTGAGCGAAGATACCAGCCCTCTCGAGGAAGCAGCAGCAAGGCCAGCCTTCCAGGGCTGGTGCCCACCACTGGCATCACCAGAAGAAGTCCCCTGACACCAAACCAAGTGAGACAGCTCAGCGTGTTCTGAAGGAGAGACTGAGTCACCTCAGGCCAAGACTGGAGATTTAGTAATTGAGAGATTAACTGCCCCCCATCCACCAGTTCTTTGCAGTAACTGGAAAGAGGGAATAGGAACTAATGGAACTGCAGGATGTATCAGTGCCTGAACTTCCCTGACCAAGAGCAGATAGCAACAAGACAGGGAAATAGACCTGTGTTGTAGTAACCCTCTGAGATCTTTTTTTTTTTAGTTTAGCTCTTGCAACAGATTACACTAATTATTACAAGCAAAATGGAAATCTGGGTGGGAGAGCTGGTATGGGGAATGGGGAGGGGGAGGTCTTGCAAATAGCTGGTCCCATTCAATCCCCAGAACTGCATAGGACTCCCACCCCCAAGACCATTAGGGATCACTCCTGAGCATGACTGGGCATGGTTCCCAAACCAATAATTAAGATGAAATGAAATAAAATGGCAGTCTATTGCCACAATGAGGAACTGCTAAAACAGAAGCAGAACCATCATGCCCTACTTCAGCCACAAGGTGAGGGAAGAATGACACTTAACAGGCTGAATGGCTGGAGATCCGTGGGATGCGGGAGCAAGACAATTGGGAAAGTTGTCAGGTACAGTAATTTGAAAAGCAAGCCCCCTTAACTTCTGAACTTTATGCTTGAAGGGAAGAGATTGGTAAATAGAACACTAGTAGGGCACGTTGGTAGCAAGCAGCTGTGTTTGGCAGGAATGCTAAAAATGGAGAGAAAAAAAGAATTCAGTAAGAATTGAGTGCTTCCCTGTTTTTTCATTACAGCACTCTTTACAATAGCCAGAATCTGGAGAAAAACCTGAGAGCCCGAGAACAGATGACTGGTTAAAGAAACTTTGGTACATCACCCGAGTTCGATTCCTCCACCCCTCTCGGAGAGCCCGGCAAGCTACCGAGAGTATCTCGCCCGCACGGCAGAGCCTGGCAAGCTCCCCGTGACGTATTCAATATGCCAAACACAGTAACAACAAAGTCTCCAATGGAGACGTTACTGGGCCCGCTCGAGCAAATCGATGATCAACGGGAGGGCCTTTACCTTACCTTACCTTACACAATGGAGTACTATGTAGCGGTTAGAAAATATGAACTCATGAAATTTACATACAAGTGGTACTACATGGAAAGTATCATGTTAAGCGAAATGAGTCAGAAAGAGAATGCACATAGAAAGATTGCGTTCATCTGGGGAACATAAAGTAACAAAATAGGAGACTAACACCCAAGAATGGTTGAGATTAGTACCAGGAATTTTGCTCCATGGCTTAGAGGCCAGCCACACATGCTAGGGGAAAAGGGAGCTTAGATAGAGAAGGGAACAAAGGTTTTGGGAGGATCCCCCCAGGATGGGAGAAGCATGCTGAAAGTAGACTATAGACCAAACATGATTGCCACTCATTGCCTCTTTTGCAAATCTCAGCACCTCAAAGGAGAGAGAAAACAAAAGGGAATTCCCTGCCTGCCACAGAGGCAGGGTGGGATGGGGGCGGTGGGTGTGGGAGGGATACTGTGATCCGTGGTGGTGGGAAATGGGCACTGGTGGAGGGATGGGTACTTGATCATTGTGTGATCGAAACCCAAGCACAAAAATTTGTAAATCTACAACTGTACCTCATGGTGTTTCGCTAATAAAAATTAAAAAAAAAAAAATTGAGTGCGTCCGTGTTTGTTCATTGCAGCACTGTTTACAATAGCCAGAATCTGGAAAAAACCTGAGTGCCCAAGAACAGATGACTGGTTAAAGAAACTTTGGTACATCTACACAATGGAGTACTATGTAGCAGTTAGAAAAGATAAAGTCATGAAATTTACATACAAGTAGTACTACATGGAAAGTATCATGTTAAGTGAAATGAGTCAGAAAGAGAGGGATAGACATAGAAAGATTGTATTCATCTGGGGGACATAAAGTAATAAAATAGGAGACTAACACCCAAGAATGGCCGAGATTAGTACCAGGAATTTTGCTCCATGGCTTAGAGGCCAGCCACGCATGCTAGGAGAAAAGGGAGCTCAGAAGAGAAGGGAGCAACAAATAAAGGGTGTTGGGAGGATCCTCCTAGGATGGGAGAAGCATGCTGAAAGTAGACTATAGACCAAAGATGATTGCCACTCAATGCCTCTTTTGCAAATCACAACATCCAAAAGGAGAGAGAGAACAAAAGGGGAATGCCCTGCCACAGAGGCAGGGTGGGATGGCGGGATAGAGGGTGGGAGGGAAACTGGGATTTGTGGTGGTGGGAAATGGGCACTGGTGGAGGGATGGGTATTTGATCATTGTATAACTGAAACCCGAGCACAAAAATTTGTAAGTCTACAACTGTACCTCATGGTGTCTCACTAATAAAAATTAAAAAATTTAAAAAAAATAATTGAGTGCTTCACGCAAAGAAACAAAAAGGAATAGAGAAAACACAGAAGTCTGGGGCTTCATAGGATCAGAAAAACCACCTCCCCCTAAGGTCCAGGTTTCAAGTGATAGGGTTTTTGAAGGGTTCGCTTGATAGAGCCTTAAGAAGGTTGTCAGGTGAATAAGTGTTCTTGGTTGCCACAAAAATGTACTCAACATTGTATGATCAAAACCCAATCATGAACAACTGTGAATTGTACGGTGATTTAATTTTTTTAAATAATTTTTTTAAAAGAATGTACCAAACAGACCTCTAGTAGGGAGGAGGCAGGGAGCATTAGTGATGAGTCTACAGCTCCCCGTCTCTTGTGTTGTCCCAAAGTCATGCTCCTAGGAGTTGTCCCAAGCCTTTGAGCACGGCACACTCATTCCTGGAAGAGCTGGATGCCCTGAGGAGAAACTTAAAGAGCAAGAACCTTCCCTAGACAGCATGACATCCCAGAATCCCTGCACCCAGCTGCCTCCTCTTCTCTACACTGCAGGGAGTACAGATTCTCCCAGTCCCTCTAGTGCCCTGGTCTTCCTCTCCCAGGCATCGCTAAATAAGCCCACCTGAGATTAATTCCATCCTTGTCTCTGCTCCCCAGAGAAGTGAGGCTACCACAAACACATCAAGAAAGCGAGCCACATAAACTGCTACCAAGAACCTACCAAGAAACCTTCCATTGAAGGGGTGTGTACATGGATGAAGAAGCAAAGAAGCTCAGTCCATTTACGAAATGTAACTATAAAAGAATTTTAGAGGTTGTGACATATTCGATATGCCAAACATAGTAACAAGTCTCACAGTGTTACTGGGCCTGCTCGAGCAAATCGATGAACAATGGGAAGACAGTGACAGTGACAGTTTCTAGAACATGAAGATGAAGCAGTCAGGAGGCTTCAAAGATTTTGAGTCTGGACTTAAAAAGTCTTTGCTTGTTCAAGACTGAAATAATCCTTAGTATTCAACCTTAGGAAGAGAAGGCTGGTCTAGAGAACTGATCTTCAGTGCTCACCCCAGCTGAGACCAAGGGAAAGGAGGAACAGGAAAAGCACCTCGATGGCCAGTGGCCACTCACAACTCCCTTCATACTAGCTGGGGAACTCAGTGCCTGATCTACAGGATACAGGAAAGCCATGGAACTGTGGGGCTCACCATCTCCCCATTGCCAAAGTGGATATTCTGCTCCTACTTCATCACTGACAATTGTGTCTAAAGGTATGGGATACTTAGAAGGCATGTCCTTTTAGCCTTATCTACAGAATTTTTGCAGAGACTATTGTAGAATTCTTCAAACCGTGGTAATGCAAAATTCTTCACACCACGAACTTGAAGCTGAAGGCAATGACCAAAAGAGACTTGGAGGTCTTAGAGACCAGAGGTGTATGCATCACGTGTCAAAATCCCTGAGTTACGTCCCTGGCAAAACGCGCCCCCCCCCCCCCCGGTATTCTGTAGGTACTGCCCAGTGTAGCTTTGAAAGCCTCCTGCACCTCTGGACCCAAGCAACTCTGTACCACCAAGCTTCAGGATTGAATTGTCCATCCCAATGGCCCACTATCACCAGAGTGACCCCCAGATCCCCTGAGCACACACAAACCCCCACCCCCCCCAAAAAAATGAAGTGGTGAATATATTTATAGGAGGGAGAAGAAAACATGTAGGGACTAGCATGATCATTTGTGACAATGATCATGCTATGTCCTGCATCTCATTTCCGATCCCTCAGCCACCAAATAACTACTCTCTACTTCCCTTAGTCTCAAGGGACCATACAGCTGAATATAGGTACATGGAATATCAGGGTAAATAATTTGGGCCACTTTCGGGTCAAAGCAGGGTGCAGTTACACTTCCACAATCTCGCTTATTCACACAGTTGAAATAAATAGCTCCAAGATGGTAGAATAGCAAAAGAAGCGAAGCAAAAGCATTTTGATCCATGAGACATTTGAAAGAAAGCCACACAGAAGAGCAACTCAATTCACATCAAACTGAGATGTAATCAAGACATAATCATTCATTGTATTAACCCACTAAAATTTCAAGATTTATCTACTGCAGATGGCAGCATTCATCCCCTGACTAATAAATATATAAGGGTAATGCAATCTTTTAGTATGTTTAAGGCAATATAGTAACAGAGGAACACAGGTTTAATGATGACTGCTAGAAGCAGAAAGGCAATCATGACTCAAATTCTAAAAGTTCCAAATTAATAGTGGGGAAAGTAAGTGATAAATACCAATGAGATTAATCCTACAAAAAAACAATTAAAGGGAAAAGAAAAAACTAAAAAGACAAATCACTCTTACATCAGATGCTGGGAGTT